CAAGTTGCAACATTAGGTAGAGGGATGAACTATCTGACAAAGAATGTAGTCTCAGCCTTTTGTGAAACTACAGTCATAACATAAATAATAGTATCCATATGAAAAATATTTTATCTCAACACTCACTCAAGTTTAACATTGGGACTGTATTGGACTGATGCACTCCCAGCACAGATGACTTCAAGGTAGAGTGAAACTAAGGAGCAATCTATATGATCCAGAGACAGAAATCTAGGAAACCACCTTATATGGATTCAGACTAGAATCATAGCATCATAGAGTTGGAAGAGACCACAGGGGACACAGAATCCAATCCCCTGCCATGCAGGAATACACAATCAAAGCACCTCGACAGATGGCCATCCAGCCTCTGTTTAATATCCTCCACCACCCTCCAAGGCAGCATATTCCACTATCCAACAGCTCTGACAGTCAGGAAGTTCCCCTGAGATTTAGGTGGAATCTCTTTTCCTGTAGTTTGAATTCATTGCTCCTTGACCTATTCTCTGGAGCAATGGAAAATAAGCCTCTTCCCTCTTTGGTATGACATCCCTTCAAATATTTAAACATGACTATCATGTCCCCTCTTAACTTTCTTTTCATCAGGCTAAACATTCCCAGCTCCTTAAGCCGCTCCTCATTGGGCATGGCTTCCAGACCTTTCACCATTTTGGTTGCCCTCCTCTGGACACATTCCAGCTTCTCAACATTCTTCTTGAATTGAGATATCCAGAACAGAACACAGTATTCCAGGTGAGGCCTGACCAAAGCAGAGCACAGTGATACTATCACTTGATCTAGACACTATACTCCTGTTGATGCAACCAAGAATCACGTTGGCTTTCTTGGCTACCACATCACACTGCTGATTCATGTTCAGCTTGTGGTCTACTAAGACTCCTAGATCCCTTTCTAGTCCATCAAGCCCAATGTTATCTAACCAGGGTGCCAATGATCTGTAACCTTCTTCATATAAAGAGGTGCCATGCCACTGAGGAACAGTCTTCCTCAAATTAATTGACTGAGCTGAAAAGAGAAGGGATGAGGAGAAAGGTGTATAAAAAGTCTAAGGAGCCCTGGTGGCATAGTGGTTAAATGCCAGTACTGCAGCCACTCACAGCCACAAGGTTTTGAGTTCGATCCCAGGCAGGGCTCCAGAGTCCACTTAGCCCTCCATCTTTTTGTAAGTTGGTAAAATGAATACTCAGCTTGTTGGGGGCAATTGTCTTACACACTGTAAACCACTTAGGGAGTGTTAGGGCCTGTACAGACTGCCAGAAATAATCCAGTTTGAGGCCACTTTAACTTTCCTGGCTCAATGCTAGGGAATCTTGGGAACTGTAATTTTGTGAGACATTGAGCCTTCTCTGTCAGAGAGCTCTGGTGCCACAATAAACTACAGTTCCCGTGATTCCATAGCACTGAGCCAGGGCACTTAAAGTGGTCTCAAGATGGATTATTTCTGGCAGTCTGCATAGGCCCATGGTTCACTGATAAGTGGTATAGAAATGTATTTGCTATTTCTATTGCTACTCCCATTCTCTCCTTCAGATGCAAAAGTAATGTCTGAACTGGCTGTTTGCTTCATAAGAAGTGGGGGTTTAAGCCTTCTTTTTCTGAAAAGTAAATAGTTAGGTGAAACAAGTTCCTTATTAATTCAGCCAGCTTCTACTTAATGACATTTCAAGAATCTAAATGCTTGAAGGGAAAAAAATATTGTGCTCAGGAAGGCTTATTCAAAAAGGTTTGTTTTGAATACTCCTGTGATAAATGCAATATAATGTGGGGTTATTTGAGCAACATCAATCATGTTTTATGGATTTGTGATAAATACAGTTGTAATTATAGCCCCTGAAAATAATTCAGCTGTCACGTTTACCTCGTCAAAGTAAATAACACTGTCAATTTACTTGATGTGCATGACCTAAGTAAACATTTCAAAGCACGAATTTTGCAGTTATGCTCCTTCATTTTAAACAACTGCCCAAATGAATGTGCCACCACTACAATTCAACGCATTTACCATCACTCAAATAAAATGAAGGCTGCACATCAATAATCCATCAAAGACATTTAAAATCATGCAAACTATCTGCTCAGTAGGGCTACGAACTTTCAAGCCATCTGAAATCAGTAAGTTTTAACAGTAAGTTTTAACAATTATCAAGATGGTTCCAAAATCGTAGAAAGCCTGACCTTGCTTTGAAGCTTAACAAAAGGGTTTCACAAATCCATGGAGCACAGGAACTATACATTAGTAGGTTAACCAACTAAAGATTAATCATTTAGAATGAGAGTTTTAAACTTGTGTCCCTAGAAAGTCTGGATTTTGCTCTAAATCAAGCAATCAAGACAAATTATTACAAGATGAATATGTAGAGAAATTTTGTAGCACCTTTGAGACTAACTGAAAGAAAGAGGTTGGCAGCATGAGCTTTTGTAGACTTAAGTCTACTGTCCAAATGCATCTGAGGAAGTAGACCTAAGTGTAGGAAAGCTCATGCTGCCAATTTCTTTCTTTCAGTTAGTCTCAAAGATGCTGCAAAATCTTTCTACATACTTATTCTACAGACTAAGGGCCTTTACAGACTGCCAGAAATAGTGCAAACTGATGCCACTTTAACTGTCCTGGCTCAGTGCTAGGGAATCATGGGAATTGTGGTGTTTTTTCTGGGACATAGAGCCTTCTCTGTCAAAGAGCTCTGGTGCCACAATAAACTACAGTTCCCATGATTCATTAGCACTGAGCCAGGACAGTTAAAGTGGCCTCAATTTGCACTATTCCTGGCAGTCTGTGAAGGCCCTAAGATGGGTATATCTTTGAATTCTATTATAGGATGAGTCAATGAATGGCTGCTACCTATGATGGCTACCTCACATTCAGATGCAGCATGCCATTAGAACAAGCAGGGTGATGTGCTTCCTACATGTGAATCCTGCTCCATCCGTACTGGTAGCCTCTACACCAGGGGTTCCCAACCTTTTTGACTCACGGAGCCCTAAGGGCTCCATGGAGCACAGGTTGGGCTCTACACACACTCCATCCACACACATAAGCTTCCAACCACATGGCCTAGCAACCACAAACTCCATCCCACAGTACATCAGCAAAGCCTCTAAAACTGAATGACACACACGTACCCTTCTGGTCAAATAGCAATAAAAAGGGTACACTGGATTAACAACCGTAATTTGTTGTTTTTTTGTGCCTCCAAGTCAGTTTTGACATATGGCAACCCTAAGATGAACCCATTGTAGGGTTTTCTTAGCAAGTTTCTTCAGAGGGGGTTTGTTACTGATTTCCTCTGAGACTAAGGGCCTTTGCAGACTGCCAGAAATAGTGCAAATTGAGTCCACTTTAACTGCCCAGCCTCAGTGCTAAGAAATCATGGGAACTGTAGTGTTTTTCTGAGGCATTGAGCCTTCTCTGTCATAGAGCTCTGGTGCCACAATTAACTACAGTTCCCATGATTCCCTAGCACTGAGTCAGGGCAGTTAAAGTGGACTCAATTTGCACTATTTCTGGCAGTCTGCAAAGGCCCTAAGAGAGTGTGACTTTCCCAAAGTCACTCAGTGGGTTTACGAGGGGGTATCGTAAAGTTTTAATCATTACCTTTAAAAAATTGACAGAAGTTTGCTTTGATTTGTAGTTGTTAACTCTACGTCATCACCATCCAGATTTAAACATTTTTCCCAACGTTTCTTGACCTTCTGAATACCTGATATTATGAAAGTCTTCAGAGTGCGCCTTACGAGGGGGTATCGTAAAGTAATAATTATCACCCAGAAGTTATTAGGGTATACTGATGAAATTTTGTCGGTGTCATCATTGGTCCCTAAGTGCATGATGTTGAGAAAACCAGTTCATTGTGTCCTTTATTTTGTGACAGGTTGTGGCAGAAGTGACTAAAGTGTAAAATCCTCATCAGGTGCAATCTGCAGAGAAAAGTTAACAACTACAAATCAGAACAAACTTTCTGTCAAAAAAATTTAAAGGTGATAATTAAAACTTTACAATACCCCTCATATATGGCCAAGCTGGGATTTGAACCCTGAATCTTCAGTCACAGTCCAACACTCGAACAACTATGCCACGCTGGCTCTCTTAACAACCATGGGAGAGTTTAAATTGATTAAATCAATAAATGTCACAGTTAAATCAGCAGCAACAAATCTTAATTGATTTTATTTATATATTATATTACATTACTCTTTTCTTATAATATGGGACACATGGTGGCTAGCAAGAAGGTTAAAACAAGATAGAGCTAAAAATCTGTGGAGAGAAAGTTAAAGCACAATAAAAAAGCTATTATATTAAAACACCATTAATTTTAAAGATATAAAATCATTTTAAAAGTAACAATAAAGATACAATAAGGTGCACAAACACCCTTCTGCAGCCAATTAATCACCAAATGTCTGCTTAAATAAAAAGATCTTTACCTGCCAGTGAAAGGAGAGCAGATACAGAGACAGTTTAGCCTCCCATGGAAGGCAACTTCACAGACTGGAAACAGGCACCAAGAAGGCCCTCTCCAGTTTCCTCACCAAAAGGGCCTGTGATGGTTTGTGGGATTAAGGCTGCATCTGCATTGCAAAAATAATCCAGTTTGACACAACTTGAACTGCCATGGCCAATGCTATGGAGTTCTGGGAATTATAATTTGTTGTGGCACCAGAGCGCTCTGACAAAGAAGGCTAAAGGTCTCACAAAAATACAATTCCCAGAATTCCATAGCATTACATCATGATTATTTCTGCAGTGCAAATGCAGCCTAAGACAAAGCCCTCCTCCAAAGATTTTAAGACCCTGGTAGGTTGATATAGGGAGATGTGGTCTTCCAGATAGTCTGGACCTAAGCCATATAGGGTTTTATAGGTCACAACCAGCACTTTGAATTGTGTCCAGAGATAAATCAACAGCTAGTGGAGCTGGTTCAATAAGGGAGTTATACATTCCATCTCACAGGTACTTGTTCTGACAATCAAAAGCAAAGAGTAGTAATTTTTGCTTCTGTTTCTGGTGTTTAAACAGGCAATAAAAATAACATTTTAAAGATGCCCTGTTCTTCTAATGATGGTAGGTTTTGATTTATTAATTGCAAAGTTATTTCACACTTCTCAGGATCTCAAAAGTATCGACAATTTTGGCAATATATAAATATATTTAAATTTAACTAAGTAATTAACCAATCAGTTAAAAAGCAGGTGATTAAACAGTCAAAATTAATTAATCAGCTGGCAACCCTAACACAAGTATTTAAGACATCTGACAACACTTTTTTTTTTAAATGTCAAATATTTATTTGCTTCTATGAGGCAGCAATAGAGCTTTCAGGTTTCTATATTCATAAATGGTGCATAGAGAGAGCTTGTAATTCTTTTCAGAATTAAATGTAGCATTTTAAAACACATTAAAACACTATCTATGAGTGCCAGAATATAGAAAATATTTTAAATATATTTTGAAAACACCAGTATCATAAAAATTAAGATAGGTTTCTGCAACTAGTTACTTTTCGGAGTGCAGAATGAAAGCTGATGCCACACTGCAGAAGCTGATGCCACATTGCAGAATTAATGCAGTTTGACACTGTTTTAACTGTCATGGCTCCATCCAATGGAATCCTGGAATTTGTAGTTTGTTGGATACCAGAGCTCTCTGATGGAGAAGGCTAAATATCTCATGAATCTACAAATCATTCCACAGCACTGAACCATGGCAGTTGAAGCAGTGTTAAACTGCATTAATTCTGCAGTGTAGATGCAGTCTAAATGAGCATAACACTCTCTGGCATTTGCCTTTTGGGCATTAATATTGGGGTTTCTAGTTACTGCCAGTATGTTTAAAAGTGTGTAACAGATTGAATTCTTTTACAGAATAAGAACATATGAACAGAAATACATTCTGCTTGTCAAATAATAAAAAGGAATGTTTTCACTATTAAATATGTAGAATTGCACAGATTTTTTTTCATCCCACACTATCTATATTATGAAAGCCTAGTCTCTAATTTGTATCAAATTCTGAAGTATTTCAAATGCACAGATTTAAAGTGGAATTTTTTATCACGAGAAAATGGCATGGAGAATCCGCTACCACACATTAAACTGCAAAAAAGATATGTCCCATGCAGTTTTACCTTTTTTAAAAGTCCATAGCATTGAAATATAAGCTCTATTACATTTTACTGACAGCATATTACATGAAATGCTGGTTAAACAACTGTATCTTTGCCTTGAAATCTAAAGGTAAAAGACTGCTTTTGAATTGCTGTTCCACAGTCCAAAAATCCCTTGTAAGTATGGAGCTTTCAAAGCACATCTGGAGGTCCTTGTACTACAGGAAAACATCCCTGTTACTTCAATCAGCAGAGAAACTACATGTACAGAAAAAGATATACCTCACAATCTGCTCTATTTGTTGCAACCAGAAAGTTTGCATGTCTAGGACTTCTGTATGTGCAAACACATGCACATGAACCCTAGGTAAGATCAACTGAGTAGACTGGTTGTTGGCAACTGTGGTAGGTCTACTTTTATGCCTTAGGATACTCCAGGGGCTACAAGTACTACTGAAAAATAAAACAAAACAAAAAACAACCCCAAAGCAGCTGGAAATCCACTTTTGATTTGTAAACATTTGTGATGTTAAGTGATACAGGGAGATCTTGCCACCTATTTAAAGGGTTTATTGTTGCACCTGGAGGCTATTCCTCTCTGATTTGGCTATTCCTACTATGTACAGTGGGCCCTTCATGTTTGCTGGGGTTAAGAACCCCCCACCCCACTCCCATGAAAGTGGAAAAACCGCAAAGAAAACACTGTTTTTTACTTGAGAAAACAGCTATCCAGGAATCTGCAGGTCCTCCAGTGCAACTTTATGGTCAACACCTACCAGATGTTGGCCACAGAATCAAACTGGAGCTCTACAAATGCCAAGAGAAATTATTATTATTATGAAATGTTTTTTTCTAGAAATCTCTAGGTCTTCTATCGCAACGCCACTGTCAACCGCTGGCAGAGTTGCACTGGAGGTCCGAGAGAATCCTAGAGAGAACATATTACTCAAATCCGTGAATAAGCAAATCTGCAAAAGACAAAGCCCTAAATGTAGAGGGCAGACTGTATAGTGGAGTACCAAATTTTGGGGCCTTGCCTAGTTCTCAGGGTAGTGCCTTCTCCCCCAATAAGATCTCCACTCTTGAAATCCACCACTGGCAATTGACCTTGGAGAAAGTGGGCTAGACAACTACCTTCCAAGCCCATATTTAGGTACAGCCATTCGTACCACCAACCTAGCCCTCTATTCACTGCTATCCGCAGCCCCAGATAAGTAAAGGTTCTGTGTGGAGCTGTTGCTTTCATAGCGTGCCAGGCCTGTCCTTATGAAGGATGACCTTCTAGAAAGGGAAAACAATCCTCTTAGCAGCACAAGGGAGCAATCACCACTGCTTCGTATTCCAAGTCAAATGGGGGGGGGGGTGTCCGTCCTCTCAAACTTGACCTACCTTTTCCTTAATGTAGATTCACCAACTTTAACCACCCTGATGACTTCTTTCACAGTGCGCCGAAAATCATGCATTCTTGCCGCAACTAGAAGAGCTGGAGCATAAACAGGGAAAGGGCCACATCAAAAAGCAGTTCAATGGGAGAGAAAGCAAGGGAATATGGTGAGTCATGCAAGTACCATCTGAAATTCTAATTCTCCTATTAATTTTAAAATATTGATGTTTAGCTCTGGGCTTGAATACTGAGCAATTAAATTGGAACTTCATAAAAAAAACTTGTTTTGCATGCAGTAATATTAAATCAGTTACAAGAGAGGTTTTGTTAATGCAAAAATGCAATGTTGTATTTTTGGTACCTGCCCCACTTACACAGTCAGACAGACAGACAGACGCACAGATATACAAGCAAGGGGAAAGCTCCAGTATAGCTAAAAAGTGCATTGACCTTGCCCAAATGAATGCACTTTGATCGTAGAAGAATTAGGAGAAAGTAAGAGAAACTTTGGTGCTGAAGCACAACTGGTGCTGCTGTCACAATTGACAAGCAGTTATGCAAATGAAGGGGTGGTGCTATGCTAATAAGAACAAATTTAATTCTCAGTGACTTAGGTCCAAAACACTGCCGTTTGAAACTGCTTTAACTGCCTGGGCTCAATGCTAGGAAATTCTAGGAACTGTAGTTTTGTGAGACATTTAGCCTTCTCTGTCAGAGAGCTCTGGTGCCACAGCAAACAATTCCCAGGATTCCCCAGCGCTGAGACAGGGCAGTTAAATTGGTTTCAAACTGGATTATTTCTGTATGTATTTTGGCCCTAAGACAGAATGAGCAAACTAAGAGATTTGAGGGCCAATTCTTAGCTCACTATAGGAAACACACACACACCCAGTGAAACTGTAAAAGTCCCCTTCCAACTTGGGCAGGATAAAACTAAACGCTTGTTTTAAGGAAGGGGCAGAGGCTAGGGGGCTGCGCTGATCTCTCAGGAGACCTTTGTGAATGGCACCCTCCCAAAATGCCCCTAAACACTCTCTGGGGGTTTTGCAGACATTTTCTGCATGGTTTCCCCCCGGGACATTTTAGAACCATAAGAGATCTTTCCTTTTCCTTTTTTCTTTTTCTTTTACAAAAAGAAGTGACCAAGAAGCCCAGGAGCTCCATGCACTTTGTTCACCTTTGTTATAAGGCAGAAGCACCACTTATGGAAGATTGCAGAAGTGGAAATAGCATTTTTCCATTTATAAAATAACCGTTTTATGAGGGGAGGGGGTCTTCGAGGTCCATAGAAAAGGCCCAGATGTCTAGGAACTATAGGATTTCCCATGCCTGGGTAGGTTCAGAAGCAGGAAGAAGGTTTAGCTATCCAATAGTGCATCAAAGTATTCATTTATTTTCCCCAATAATTGCGTGACTATATTCCAAAGACTGTAATTTATACTCTCTGTTTTCCATTCCTCTGATCAGTGAAACACAAGACTGTAATATTTTAAAAGGTTCAGGCCAAAGAATGGGTAATGTGTATACTTTCAATCTGATGTTTATTTTTCATGATGATTCTGGATTGGTTAACTTATCTTTGATAAAGGGAA